CTAGAATTATTATATAATAATTTAATACTTAAATATTATTTATATATATTTTTAATATTTTATATTATTTTATTTAAAGTAAAATTTAAAAATAAAAATAAGTTAAAATTTTAAGAATATTTAATTATTTTAAACTTAAATAAAATAAGAAATAAAATCTTAAAAATATTATAAAAATGATATTTATAATTAATAAGTATTTCTTTATATATTTATAAAAGAGTTTATATTTTTAATATATTATTTAATAGAATTATAAGCTTTTAAAAAGTGTAAGTTTTAGTGTAAAAGTGGGCGTTTTTCGGAATTACTGCGAACCCACTGTAACTATTTAGTATTCACGAAATACTCACCAGAATGTAATAAATACTGTTCGATAGCCTTCCGTCTTGGTTTTGCCAGAAGACCATTTGCTCTTAGTTGCATGTTGGGAATCTGTTATCATCCGTCGTGTCGGGGACTCGAGGTTGACAGCAAGTCGCTTGTCCACACGTGGGCCATACAGTCAGGCAGGGAAGGAGCCTCTCGCTAGTTTCCTCACTGGGATGTCTTCTTTTCGCAGAAACTATCCAGACAGTGTCCTGATTTTGCAAGATGACGGCCGCAACCCCCCCCCCCCCAAAAAAAAAAAAAAAAAAAGAGAGACCGAATACAAATCACGCAGAAAATCAACATGGTGTCCTGTTATTATACAAAATTCATGAGGTTAGACTCGAGATGGAGGACACCCCGATCAAGCACTACTCACGCTGCGGAACGCCCTGTTTTGCCAGCAACGTCACAGATGGGGGAAGCAACATGAGATGCAACAAGTAGGTGCCATACCACGAGTCTCCCTGGAATAGCAAACGCTTGGATGCTTTGCTAACCCAATTGACTCCGGTACTGACAATCTGCCTTGCCCAATGCTCTTGACCAGGCTGCTACCTCGTTGCTATACTGCGTCTGCCTGGTCGGACGGGAGCAAGGAAAGGGGTTGATGAAGTTGGTGCCTTGTTGGTGGATTGAGCCGGTGAAAGAGGATGCCACGCCTACAGTCCTGTGCAGTGCTGTACATTCAGAATTTGGAATTTATGAACCCCGCAAGAAGTCTGACCAAACTTCTTGCCGCGTCCGAAGCCGTGAGATTACAGCCAGCCATCTCCCACCTCAACATTGTGGCTGCCACTCACGACCATCTTTGATTTACTGTTGGGCACTTATACAGCCCTGTCGAAGTGCCTTACCCACCTTCGAGCACCAATGCCGGCCTTGGAGCTGTTGGCTGATTGCCTTGGGTCGCAATATCTAGGCAACGACCCAATGCCAGTCATTGACCCCTTCTTGGTTGGTGTGTCACCAGCGGATGGTTAGCATTTGAGCTACGCTGCTGGCCGCTGGTCTCCAACTCAACTCAAATCTAATCGAACGCGTTGGTCGACCTCCGTTTCGTATCATCATACTCTTGCTTGCGCAGCACTTGGCTTGTCGTCCCAACGTCTTCTCGGCTCATTGCGTAAAATTAGGCTGCGACGATTCGTTCCTTGTATTACCGAAGCGCCCGGTCACTATTCCGTTCGAGATTTAGATTTCAAATCTGCAAGTAGCAAGCAGCAAGTCAAGTCTCTTACAGACGGCTCGCCACATTTGCTGAAAATCACTAGAGCAATCCAGACTCTTGTTCCTTTTACAACACATCACTACGGCCCGTAAAATGGCACAACTTAATCAAGAAAATGCTTCACTGCCCATTCCTTCGCCGTTGATAGACTCTAGGCCAGACAATGTGGTCAAGGATACAACTACAACTTCTGCAGAAGAGTCTTCCATAAAAACAGTCGACCGCCCGCTTTCATCATTTCTCTGCCCTTCGCCAGCCAAAACATACCCTAACGTCCCTGGACTCGAACGTGGCATTCTTGACACCACATTCAATATACCTCCGGAAGGAAGAAGGTTGGCTAAGCATGTCATGACTCTTGCGGACTACGAATCGGCTAGAAATACGGATTGATTTATGCTTCATGCCGTTGAGTTTGAACTGAGTCACGGAGATACGCTGGTCTTCGTTGATTTGCCAAATATACCAAAAGACATGCGCAAGCTGGCCGACTGCGATAACATTGTCTTTAAATCCCGGAAATTTCTAGTCCATTCTGAGAAACTCTTGGCCACGGGGTCGACTTAATTTGCAGATATGCTTTGTCCTTCTTACCAGTTTCGTGTTCAGAGACGACGAAAGATGGTCAATAAGCTTCCTGACGGCGTGAAATACTTGCTTGATCTCACTCCTCCGTCCGAAGGAGACGAACTGGTATTCCAGATGACAAAGATATCTCTGACTCGTGGAATTATGAACTGGTGGACATCCTATCGACTTCATGGAGCGGAAATTGGGCTTGTGGCTGGTCATGATGATGTTTGTTGTTGCAAGAGACAAGCATCCTCCTACCTAGGCTTTGATTCTGACGAAGACGACAAATATGACAATACTGGGTCGAGAAAGCCCAAATCTTTAAGAGCAGGTGTACTGCTTCCACCAACACCACTTACCTTGATGAGAATGAAGGCTGAAGGCAAAGAGAAATTATATGAAACCCCAGAATTTCGCCAGATCCCTGATTATTGTCCCCTCAGACACAGAAACAGCATTACCCGTTTGCTTATCTTACTGGAAGAGGGAGAAATATCAATGGATTCTGCTGCTCGCATGTGGACAATGGTTGCTGTATCTCGTCAACGAAATGGCCCTAGAAGAGGCCGCCACGGATCACACCTCTCTCCCGAGGCGGGCCAGAACAACCATGTTTGGAAGACGCACTGGCGAATGCAGCGACGAACTGAACAATCTGATACAACATGCTTCTCGAACACTAGTTGAGAGAGTAACACGAACCAATCTAGAGCTTCAAAGTCCAGATCTTTTTGATCATTGGGCTATTGGGAATGGGGCAAGTTGAGGTCATTGGAGGCTCTCCTTTCGACGCAACAGCCTGGTGAAACCCCCGAGGGCAATGATTTTAGCCATGTACTTGACCATTTGAAGCGTCTCATGTTACCCGGCTCAGGTTCGTTATCGGCCGCAAGTATAGTCTGAGTGCAGAGTCCTTTGGTACCAGCTCCCCATTCCTCATGGGTATGGACATTGGTCGTGCCACTTACGTGCACCCGATGGACTTTGAAGAGTTGGGGCAAATCTTGGTACGGTTTAATTTACTGCAAAAGCTCCTGTGTCCTTTTATATATAATGAATTGAGCGATCGATGCTACGCGAATTTTTTTACCGATCCACGTGCAGATAAAAGGGACGTCCAAGAACCGTCAATTCCTGCACTGCTAGACAATTTCCAAGCTTCTCTAGAGTGGCTGGTTTCAAAACACCCGGACTTGATGGACAGGCCAGAATGGCAAGTCAATGTCAATGAGGAAATCGCAAGCCCCGTTTACAGAATCAGGCTTCCCATCGTGGCATTACTAGAGATGGAACAAAAAGTCAAACAGGCCATCCAGCCCCTCACACGCTCTTGGGTACGTTATGAAATCGAACCCCCGGCCAACATTACTCGCCATTTGTTGCTCACACTTGATCGTGAGGAAATGAACTTCCTACCTCTCTGGGCGGGCGGCCTCAACGATGGCACGGGCGCTGTGTTCGAATCACACATCCCTTCTACCGACATGGGACCAAATGGCCCCGGGCCTGCTTACCACGCGGGACATACTATCCCTTCTGCGCCGCCTAGCATTAGCGACTCCCTGGTGGACGATATTTTCGCCATGAAAGTAACTAGTACCCCTACCAGTGGCACCATTGATTCACATGACGACATGTCCATCGTGTACAGAGACGACAAGGCCATTGTAGATGATGTGTCCATCAAGACGGAATCCTTTCAAACAGCTGAAAGCGACTACGACGGAGCGAGATTTGCTGTGCCAGCAGGTCACCAAGAAATAGCTGAAACAGTTAATTCGCTTGTTGAAGCGGTAGATGATTTTGAAGCGGATACGCAAGAGACACCAGTTGCATCAGACTATGAGAGTGATAGCGACGGCAGTGTTGTACTGGTGAAGAGGGCATGTGGGGAGTAGAGAACAGAGTGTTGGTTTAAATCGATAGAAGTCCGGGTTCTTCGAAATTTTTACGGGAAAATGTGTAAGGTCCAGACAGGACGTCACCCAAAAAGACGAGATATTATTTTATCTAAACCAAAGTCATGCAGTTTAGTCCATCAGAGAACCAATCCTCTAGCCACCTGCAACGCCCAATACAGATTCACAGAACGATCCTCGCAATACAATCGAAAAGTCAAATTCCCGTACAAAGTCATCCCATATTGAGCGTATTCCCGGCGCCCCTCCTATTGTCGTCCTTGAAATCATCCCACTCCCTCGCCTTATACGTCTCCCTATCCACCGCATCCATATCATCTTCATCAACCTCCACCCTCGGCGGATCCGTGCCGCCCTCCAGGATATTGCCCCTCCTCTTCTCCTCCGCGAGATACTCATCGATAGACATGGTGGGCAGATTATGCCCTGGCCGAAACACGCCCCTCGCCAGATCGGCCCTCGACCCGACCAGCGTAAACGGCTGCAGCGGCCTCCCCTCCCGCGACAACAGAGGGCCGCCAGCCCTGCCGCTCCTCCCAAGCGGCTGGTCCAGCCTCACGCTCGCATCGTCCGCCTCTTCCCTTGGATGGCGCGCTGAGGTCTCCGGCTCCGGCTCCGGCGCCATGGCCAGCATCTCCGCCTCGCGATTCAGCCCCTCCAGCCCCTGGAACGTCTGGTGAATCTTGCACGCCACATCCGCGAGGTACACCTCCCGCGTCGCCTCCTCGTCCTTGTCGACATACCTGCGATCGCTCTTCAGCAGGTCCAGCTTTTCCCGAAGCCCCTTCTCGGCCTTGAAGCTGGCAATTTTGGCGTCCCGCTTACTCGCCATGTCGCCCGTTTTCGAAACGACGGCAAATTGCTCCTCGTCGTCCCGGTACCGTTCTAGGAGTTTGGCATACGGCCCGGAGACGAGCCCGTATCCGTCGACGAGAGAGAGGAACCGCTCGTAGGCGTCTCTCGCGGCGCGGAGCACGAGCTTCCGACGCGCGGGGACGGTAAAGGGCGTGCGCTGGACGAGCTCGGCAATGGTGAAGTTGACGAGGATGTAGGGCAGGGACGATGTGGCGATGTCTTCAAGACCCTCGTTGGGCGAGAAGAGGGATACGGAGCTAATTTGGTCGAGCACGCGGGCGTAGAGGGCGAGGACAGAGTTGAGATCAGAGAGATAGGTGGGGGATGTTGCGTCGGGGGAGGACTCGAGGAGGCGTCGTTTGGATTCGGCTTCTTCGAGGGCTGTGCGGAGGGATTGAGGCTCGTCTTTTGATGGCATTGTGCGTGATGGGGGCCCCGGAAGGGCTTTTGAAGAGATGGTGTCGAATGGCGAGTGTTGATAGATCATGGATAACAAAGTTGAAATGTGAGCTGTGGAAGCTATGTACCTAGGTAGGTATCCTACGTTGACCCCTCCATGACTATCGATAACAGCCCACCAAATGGACCAGCACCTAAAGTTACCTAGTAGTTAACTCTAAGTACCTAGGTACGTACCTAGGTACGTACCTAGGTAGTTACCCGTCAGCGACTAAGTGGCTAGCCCACTTCGTTTCCGGAGCTAGACAGTCGTCACGAGGCATGAACACAAACTGCATGCATTTCGTCCGTTAGAGAGTCGTCAATTCAGCAAAGCTTGAAATGGAGAAAGATGTAGCAAAATACAGTGTATCCGACCAACGCCCCAAGGCTGTCCCAACCGGCCTGCTAGTCCGTCCGCCCTTCCAACATCTACTTGGCCTTCAAGCACATGCGTTGACCCTCAGTAACGACTTTTCTAGTCCAATAATCAAAGCAGTTTATCAAGTCATCTTTTCCAAGCAAATCCACTCAGTCGTCATCCATCTCAAACGGATCGTCGCTCTCATCTTGCATCAACGATGAATCCTCGTCCACAATGATTGGTCGTTTGGCCGCGGCAGCCCGACCAGGCCGGCCACGAGCTGCGGGTTTGGGTTTCGATACGGGCGATGGGGGCTCATCTACCTCGTCTACCTCGTCCTCCGAGTCTTCCAGGGCGATCTTCTTGACACCAATCACTTTCTTCTTAGCCGCATAAGCCTTGGCTGCAGGTGACAGCGTCGTGGCTTTCGGTGCAGCTTTTGCCCGGGGTTTTGCTTCCGGTTTGGCCTTGGCCTTGGAAGCTGCGGGCTTAGCGCGCGCCTTCTTGACCGCAACCAAGCCACTGTCAGTAGTTGAAGGGGCCGCAGTTACTGCCAGCTCATCGTCCGAGTCCTGAGCTGCATCCTCCTCATCTTTGATCTTGTGAGGGGATGACTTTGCTAACATCTCGTAGTTGGTCTCATCGTGGCTGTCAATATCCATCGAGGACTTGGATGCCTTTGTTTTCAGTTTCTGGATACTGCTGGAACCATTATTGCCCTGGCTGGATTCTGGTCGATTCATAGCGTATAAGCTTAGTCGCCCACTCTTGTCGCCAGCAGGCTTGCCGATTCCCTTTACCATAGACCCAATATCCCCAATCATCTCAGCATCTTCTACCTCACTGTCAGAAGAGACTTCGAACAACGTCTTCGCTTTAGAAGCGGCTGCCCTCTTGGTAGGCCGGGGAACGTCTGGTTCTTCAGATTGGGACTGTGAAGCAGATTGGGACAACTCTGTCACCCTTGTAGACGAAGGCTTGTTTCTGCTGAGGGCTGCAAAGTCATCATCGGAGAAATTATCAGACAAGTCTACAACATCATCCTTTGGCTCCTTCTTCGTCTTTGAGCTGAACATGTCAGCGAATCGTTGAGCGCTCTTGGTCTCGGTCTTGACTTTTGGTGCTGCCTTTGCCGCCGCTGCCTTGCTCTTGCCCTTGCCCTTGGATTTCTTTTCCGGCTCGTAGTCGTCATCATCCTTTCCCTTGCGGTTGCGACCTGCACCAATCTTCTTGGACTCACGTCGCCCCATACGGCGGATCTTGGTCTGAAGTTCTTGCTCGAGAGCAATTTGAGAGTCCCACTCGGTCATGAAATCATCTAGATCTGCACACCAAAGATCCTTTTCACTCTTGGCGGATAGACCCTCGATATCGTCCTTCTTTTTGTTGATAGCATCCTTTAGCTTCTCAAGTCGTTCCTGAGTAAGCGACCAAATTGGCATCTAGTAGTGAGACTTTTTGGTTAGAGGGATATACATATGGGCTTTACGGTACATGTGCCGCTTAGTAAACTGACCGAGAGGAGATAATCATAGTCATGAGCACCAGCCGCTGTGTCCTGGTTATCATCGTCGTCATTTTCATTGTCAGACTCGTCCGGTTCATCGTCCGCTGTCTTTTGTTTCTGGCCTCCCGGCGGAAAGGCTCTATATTTGCGATCACGAAGCTCTGACACAAGCACAGCCTTCTTCTTCCTACCCACAATCAGCTCCCCATCAATAATTTCTTTGATAAACCGGTACTGATTTTTCAGTTTTTCGAGGTCGTTGTCATATACTTGAAGCCAGTATTGCTTTCGGGCATGATACATCTGAAGTCTGTGGACATAGTATTCTTCTAGAATGTCCTCAACTTTTTCATATTTTCGAATTTGACCCCTCGTATCAAACGCAACCAAGTTTGAGGTAGCAATTTGCTTGGTGAGCTTGAACCGCTCAAGCAATCCCTCTTCAAGAATCTTGGGCAAGTGCTTCTCGTCCACCATGATCTCAAAGTGGACGGTCTTGTGGTCGTTGAATTCCTTGTAGTCCTTGATCCATGTAGGACCATCGCTACCGCTGATAACTTTTTCGAGCTTTGCTTTGAAGTCGTCTGTCCACATGCGAATTGGCAATTCCGTAATGATTATTTCATTAGGGTTCTGGTCATTTTGGGAGGCGATACCGTTGAACTTATACCTATCAGGACCAGCTGCTTCGGGATTGCCCTTCCAACCTCGAAACCAGGGAGTCATTGTCTCGAAAGGTTTCTCCTCAGCATCATCTTCATCTAAACGACCCATGCGGCGCTTTAAGTTCTTTACAATATCTGCTGGATGGTAGTTTGGGATTGTTGTGCTCCATCCAGTTCCAATACCATCAGCACCATTGACGAGGACCATGGGGAGAATAGGTGAATAAACCTCGGGTTCAATACGCTTGCCGTCTTCATACTGATGCTTTAAACAGGCTTCGTCCAACGGAGAAAAGATCTTCTTTGCAAATGGAGCCAATCGCGTAAAGGTGTAACGAGGACTGGCAGCATCGGAACCACCAGCAAGGCGAGAACCAAAGTTACCGCTAGGTTCCAGTACGTTGATATTATTGGAGCCGACAAAGTCCTGCGCCAAACCAATGATAGTCTGTTGTAAGGAAGCTTCACCATGGTGATACGCAGTGTGCTCAGAGACATAACCAGCAAGTTCCACAACCTTTTTATCCTTGGTCAGGTTTCGTTTAAAGCACGCGTATAGAACCTTTCGTTGTCCTGGTTTTAAACCATCAATTACGGACGGTATTGAACGCAAGTTATCAGCCATGCTGAATAGAATAAGTTCCTTGCTGACAAAGTCTGTGTAAGTGATTTCTTTTGTAGAGTGATCTAAGAAAGTGCCCGGGATGTAATTGCCAAGCCATTCCTTTCGAGCATCTGCCTTCTTCTTTGAGAAGACAAGGTCAAAAAGCTCAGCTTCTTCAGACTTCATGGTTTCGAATTCCTTCAAATGATTATCAAGGTTGGTGAAGTATACTTGGGCATCTTCATTGGAACTTGTTCCCAATCCCTTGAAGTACTTGGACTGCCATCTCGACAACTCTGCCTTGTGCGATTCCTTCCATTCGTCGTACTGCGGCTGAGTAAAGAAGGATTTGAGTCTCTGAGGCTTTTTCGGGTCGGGTCCTTGCCAGACCTTGACAATGGGCGTGATGAATTCTTGCAGGAACTTGGGGATTTTCAGTAATGAGGGGAACTGAACTTGAAGAAAGTTAATAAGGAGGCCCTTAATATGACTGCCGTCGTGATCCTGATCAGTCATGATCATAAGGTGACCATAACGAAGACTTTTTGTGTCCGTGTATACTTGTTTGTGTTTTAAGCCTAAGAATTGCTTGATATTCTGAATTTCTTGGTTCTTGGTGATTTGATCGAGTGAAGCGTCTCGGACATTAAGTAGTTTACCTCGAAGGGGGAAAACACCAATTTTATCAGGGTCAAGAATGGCTCTTCCAGAGACAGCAAGGCCCTTGGCAGAATCACCTTCGGTGAGAATAAGGGTGCACTCATGGCCGCGTCGGGTGCCTGCCAAGTTAGCTTCAACAAGCTTGGCATTGCTAACTCTTGCTCTCTTGCTTCCGTCGCTTTTGGACAGCATCTTGTCAGCCTTTTTTTGAGCAAAATCCATGATGTTCTCGATAGCATCTGATTTCGCAATCGCTTTCAGAAAGGCGTCGCCAAGAACGCATTTGCTACCAAACTGGCTCACTTTGGTTGTCAACTGCTCCTTAGTCTGAGAGTTAAAAGCGGGATTCTCGATAAAGCAGTTGATGAAAATAAAAATGTGGTTCCGAAGATGACTTTGCTTAAGGCTATGGCCTTTCTTCTTCTTATCAAGCGCCTTTAAGAGCGACCCCGTGATTTGGTCAGCAATGTAGTTGACGTGGGTACCTCCAGTGGTCGTCGCGATAGAGTTGACGAATGAGACTTGTTGAAAGGTTCCATCAGACACTGTGAACGCAACCTCCCATCGGGGATGGGACTTGTCCTTGTCGATTTCAACGGTGCAGGTGGGAGTACCACCTTCTTCTGCGGTCCTCTCGGCGGCGATAGACTTTGCGTAGAGATCACAATACGCTTTGAAATCCCTGAGTTTGATTTGCTCACCATTCAAGTATACCCTGACACCATGGACTGTTCCCGCCATGTCGTACACTCGACGATAGAGGAGAGCTTCTAGGTCATCATCAATGCCCTCTGGCATTCCGAAACGATCGTAGTCAGGTTTGAAGGTAATGCGGACAAAATCTGCAGATTTGCTTGAGGTGATCTTTGCCTTTTGCATCTTCTGCATGTTGTCCGTCCATGTCTGTTTATATTTCTTGCCATTACCAGCGTCTTGACACTCCACGGTGAATTCCTTGCTGAACACGTTACAAAGCTTAGCACCATAACCGTTGCGTCCACCAACAGTCTTCTTCTCGTTATCGTCGAAATTGGAACCTGCCAAGAGATGTCCGAAAATCATTTCGGGAATGTAAATCTTCTCCTTCTCATGAATTACGATTGGGATGCCTTTGCCGTTGTTTTCAACACTAATCTCTCCAGTTTCTCGATTTATATTGACTTTCATGAAGGTCATCCCACTACCCTCACGCTGCGAGTTGTCGGCCGCGTTGACCATGATTTCATCAAAGATTTTGTAGAAACCCGGGACGTAGGTTATGTTCTTGTACTCCATCTGTGATGTTGTCTTGTTGTACACCCACATCTGCTGGTCCGTCTTCTCGACTGATCCGATGTATGTGTCGGGTCGCTTGATGATGTGTTCAAGTTGTGTGAGCTTTTGGTACATCTCAGTGGCGGTTTTTGACGACTTTGATGTCGGTTTAGTCGGTGGAACGTCAACGATCACACTATCGTTCTCAACCTCTGCAAGAGGGACACCGCCAGATTTCTTTGGCGGCGGAGCCTTCTTCTGCTTCTTGGAACTCGGCGGGGTGCGCGAAAAACTTGACGAATTGCCTCCGGAAGAATCTTCATCGCCGCTGTCCGGTTTCGGTCTTTTGGCTGGTGCTTTCGTTGTCTTCAAGGTAGTTTGTGTGAGTTTCTTGCCCGTGGCCTTCGCAGCTGGTTTTGCCGCCACCTTGGGCTTTGATTTCTGATTGGGAGTTGTTAGCAATTTGGTCGTGAATGTCTGAAATGTCTTTGCGCCAGGGTGCAGGCCCGGTGACGGGTTTGGTCCTAATATACTCATGTTGGGTGTTGCAAGTGTTCGGGGATGTATACGGAGTGTGACAAAGATTGAAACGCAAGCAGACCGCTTCGGATATCGTCATTGCAGCTGGCAGCCGAACAGAACAGCTGGTACAACTGGTAGACCCTTCCCCTCTTAGGTTCGCATGACTTGAAAGCTCACCTTTTTTTGAGGAACATAGCCGTCAGATTCCTCGCCTAGGCTGAAAGCGGGATCTGACATGACATCTGAATCCATGTTGACTTTGGACACACTCTTGCGCCGAGTCGAATTTCCGTTCTTACAAGGTCAAACGACAGAACAGTTCTAACAACGATTGAACATGCAGATTATACACGACGAACAAGAACGAGTGGATCGGCGAGTTGTATGTCGACTCGCACGATAAGATTGGAGGTCAGTCTGGTCATCGGGGTTTTATTGACATGGCCCGTTGCAGGTCGACGCTGGGATTGTCGTTAATGTTGTTGTTATTGTTGTTGCGACGGACCGAAGTTGATGCGCGTCGACATAGTCCGGACGCGCCTCCCTGGCCAAGTGGCCGACCAAGACGTCTTCCGACTGCGTTCTCCTAGATTCCAGGAACCAGGGGTCGTGTTTTGCTGCCTCAGGCAGAACGTCAGACTTGGCGCTTGCGGTCCCACTCTTTCTTGTGACCCACCTCGCCATCCTTGCTGCTGTCGATTTAATTGATGGGTCCAATGTTCAACGTTCAACACCAAACAAACAGACACGTGAGGTGGACACCTCATAGTTCCTGTGTCGCCAGATCAGACCGATAGCTAGTACCTGGTACAGCGTATGTTATGACAGGCACGAGAATTGTCTGGCAGTGTCCCTTCAGCCCACAGGAATCATCAAGTACATTCCCTCAAAAGCGCGAACACACCGAGCCTGTGCAATGCATCGCTGTCCTGTTCGACGAGACGCCGGGATTCTCAAACATCATGTCAGTGAGCGTGTGTTCTGCATAGCTCGAGCAAGCCCAAAAGCTGATTCTGGTTGCAGTTTTTGTGAGCAATAAGTAGACAGCGCCCAATCGAGTGTCTATGCAGTCCGTTCATGTGCGACGGCAACCTGACGATAGACGTTTATGTGCCCAGTGTACGCCGCAAGTCTCCTGCAATTAACGTTCAAGTCCCTCGAGGCGGGCGTCCTTGTTTATTTTGTGATTTATTTCTACAAATAAACCGCTCGGTTCTGTCTCTGCGCCATGTGTCTGTACGCCCCCGGAACATTTAGACGTCTTCTAGCAATATTCCATCGGGAAATCTGATGCTTCTAGCCCCTGGGAACGGGCCCCCTTTGCACGTTTTTCAGCTCATTGTCTCAAAGCAATGCATCAATGAGAGACATTTCCTGCAAAAACATCTAGGATATATGGAGCTTCACCGCAAACATTCAAGTTACACGCGGCCTTTCTCCGGACAGGTGAGGTTTCTAGTACAACAAGGCGTGCAGGTAGCAACTTGGAGACGACAAGCCCCCCCGACTTCGAGCTCCGTTTGCTCCATCGCATCTCGCAACGGTTCAAAGTGTCCGGAAACAAACGCAGGTCAGGATAGAGATGCTCTTCGTCCAGCATTTCTGTGGCGTCTCCTTGTGCTTCACCCTTTCAAAGCAAACATCCCACGACTAGGTTCCATCCACGTGCTGTCAGCAGGTGCCGCAATACACAAGTTGGCTGGCAGTCCTAATGTTATTATACATATCGTGCCTCGTTGAACAAGATCTTCCCGCGGCATTGTAACAGTCGGGGTGCTTAGGGCTTTGCTAGAGTGCAGCCACCCGAAAAAGCGCAATGGAATCCTTGTTGTCATCCTGATGCCAAACAGCACACGTCTGTTCGCCCCGTGCCCAATTTGAACTTGGGACCTGCTCTACATTTGGCATGTGCTCCAAAATTATACGTGCAAGCATCTTTCATCGGACATTCAAGAAGCTCATTCGTATCTCATCGTCACGGCGTCGGGAAAAAACTGCTCCTCTTCCGGCATGGCATCTGAGAGTCTCATTCAGATATCCACAACACAGTAATGTGACTGGAATACTCCCGTATCACGCTTCTGAGGAAATACCCGGGTAGGAAGCGGGTCTCTTCATATTAGATATGAGCCGAGTCGGCTGCAACTGCTGAGGTGTCGCTCATGTTTGACAGATGGCAAAGCAAACCCAGTTGACATATCCATCTCGTCAAGGAAGATGGAGAAATGCTGGTGCCGCCACACGCCTTTTCAGGCGATATAGTATGGTACTTTGATGACCGTGCTCATCGGTCCGCATTCTCCCACGATAGAAGAGACTTTAGCTTGATGAATATCTCTACTTCTCAGCCCGGTCACTTCAAAATCATGAATTATCGCTACTACACGTCTCCCTTGTAAGACGTCTCGGTCCTCAAACTCAAAAGCACAGGCCTAAAGAAAAGAAATATATAGCGGCAAGTGTGATTCACAAACGGACCTGCCAGCGTCGCCTCCCTGCAGACGGATATCGCTTGAAGGACAAACGAAAGCACCCAAACAAGTACACATTTCCTCAGCCCCTCAAAAGAAGTGGTTTGATACGACCACCATTCGGTATGTTCTAAGGCTCAGACAAATGTAGGTATTCACAGTTGATCTGAACCACGAAGCGCCCGCCCACAACACGGTTATTATGCTGAGTCTTCAGCGCATGAAGAACAGTGCCACAAGCGACACAGCTGGTGCTCTTAATCATGTTACGCATCAATGAGCTTCTCAATCCCATTTCACCCGAAGACAGCGGCGGGAATGATGACAGAACAGCTCACGCCTCTTCAGGGGCATCCAGTTCCTGGCATCGATACCCGGTACTGAACAGTGATCAACAAGGAGCACCCAGCACTACGCGCACTGAGCAAATTTTGCTTTCGACTCCAGACACACAAGGACCAGTCAACTTTCCTCCATTTGAAAACGTCGATGAGAAAACTAGGCAGAAAATAACAGCATTCAATATCCCGCAGTTTGGATCCATCACAAAGAGCTATGAGCACGTTCCTTACAACAGCTCCAAAAGGGACTTCTTCGCAAAGACTGGCCGAGAATGTATCGAAGGTTTGAATTCTCTCGTCTTTACGATGATTGTAACTGATGAAAAAGACACTAGCTTTCAAATATACCTTTCAGCTTCCAAGGAATCCCGCCGTGTTCACGGTCATGTGGGACTACAACATAGGTCTTGTTAGAATGACCCCTTTCTTCAAATGCATGGGGTATCCCAAGGTAAGTACCTACATCAAAGGGAATGGTTTATCCAAGTCTAATATAACATAGACAAGGCCGTCTCAAATGCTGGACAAGAATCCTGGGCTACGAGATATTTGTCCCAGCATCACAGGGGGAGCAGTGTTTGCGCAAGGTATGCCGCCCCTTGTATGAACTTGGTGCTGAACATATTGTATAGCTAGAGATATTCCTAGGGTATTGGATGCCATACAAGTGTGCCAAAGCTGTATGTGCCACTTTTTGCTATGATTTCGCGGCAGCTTTGATTCCGCTATTCGGTCCTGGGTTTCCATCGGAGTGCATATCGCCAGATTCAGCGCACTTCTCCAGTATGACCATCAGTCAGGAATTGATCAAGGAGGTTTCAGAGCAAGCGCAACGACTTCACCAAGGACCTACCGAGCAGAATACAACAAGCTATGTCTTCCCACGGCGACCTCCAGGGCGAAATATCCGCACAACACGGGCTACGCCTATAGGAGGACCACCCCAAACGAACACTCAACCCATTAGCAGACCGCAGACCTACTTCAATCCAGTCACAAGAGGGCAGCAGCAAAATGATATATCTCGAGCAGACGACCAGGGCTTCTACCCGCCGCCAAGGACGGAGACCAGCGCTATAAGACGAACGGCTCAGACCAGCGGCGTTGTATTGTCAAGCCATGCCAGCGAGTATTTTCCTGCTGTAAGGGCCCCAGAAACTAATCCCCTTAGACGGTCCAGACAAATACCTTCAGCAGATCAATCTTACGAAACCAGCCCGAGGAGTAGGAAACGACGAAAACTGAGCTCTGATGCGTCCTTCGATGGCGTTTACGACTCCATGCCAAGGCGCAGCCAGTCAACAAGGAAATCACTGCCGAAGAGCAGACTCCTAAGCGGGACCAATGTGAGCGAACAGAAATGTATGGAAGAGCCCGGGGCTGGTTCCTCTGGTGGCGCCAATACACTCGTGATTGGGGCAGGAGAAGGGGTGGTTGATGAAGGATGTAGACGCCAAGCAGGTCCATTCGTTTGGACTCCTGGAAGGAGGAAATCCATCTAAGTGAAGCGGCAGTGTTGAATATGGGATGAACATCATGGATTGATGCAAATGCGACACAGGGAAATAGTACTAGTGAGCAGTATGGAATTAGAGAAGACGTGTGCACGTAGGTGTTGTCTCTTGTCTCTTTATCGGTAAAGCATTTTTCACTTCCAAAGGGAAAGAACCGCACATGCCCTCATTCTATTATCCTCTTCAACCCCAGCCTAATCAAATCTTCCACTACGCCATGTATTTAAAACAAACAAGCATTCCACGCACCTACACAGAGCCATCACGAACCGCCGCCCTTCCCCATCTCCACTGCCTTCTGCTGCTTAAACTTCCTCACCCACGCGTCAGCCTTGTCGTTGGGCAGGACAAATATCCTCATAACCTCATCCACAACCTCAACCTTGCCCGTGCCCAACACCTTCAACAGAGGCACACGCTTCCCCATCTTGAGCACACCCCCTCCCATCGTCTCCACGTAGCAAGTCACCCCGGCGGCGGTATACACGCCCTCCTTGTCCCACGGCAGCGGAAAGACGTACGACAGGTGGTCCTCGAGCGTTTGCGTCTCATTAAACGCCTTGATGAAGTCTGACTCAAGGTGCTCGGGATACAGCAGCACAGTCGGGAATGCCAGGCTGCTCCGCGGGTCGTCTGGATCCGGCACAAGCTCGAGCTTGGTGTCACCCATCTCGGGAGGCTGGGCTGTCGTTCGTGTCGGGATGCCCCTCGCCTTGAGGGCGGCCCTGAGGAGCACCTCGCGCCGTTTGAGGAGCGCCCTCCTCTCGGCGTCCCTTTTGTTCTTGGCGTCAACCTCCCTCGCCCGCTGGACGATGCGCTCCGCGACCTCCTTGAGGCCCCTGTTGCCCGGGTCCAGGGACAGCCCGCGCGCGCAAATGTCGTCTGCCTCGTCGATGCGGTCCACTGCCAGGAGGGCCCTGGCGCTTCTGTAGCAGGCCTTCAGGTTGCGCGGGTTGAGACGCAGCGCGGCTGCGCAGTCGGTCCAGCAGCTCCTGTAGTTGTCCAGCTCCAAATGGCACGCCGCGCGGTTCACGTACAGCGCCTCGAGGACCTCTCTCTGCGCAGCAACCTCCTCCGCGCTGTCCTCTACGCCCTCGGGGTTCCTGGTGACTTCGCCGCGGGCCCGTTTCCGCTCCTCCAGAAACAGAATCTGTATGCCCTTGGTGTAGAATTCCCTCGCGTCCACGTAGCCTCGTACCTTGAAGCATTCGTTTCCGCGGACCTTGAAATCGGTCCCGTTCTCAAGCGGCGTGCCCTCGTAGTTGAGCGCCTGCAAGGCCGCAATGTCGTCGTTTTCTTCCATGTCGGTCATGAACAGCGGGGACTTGTTCAGGTCGGCCATGATTTCGTCAAAGGTCTGCTTCCGGTGAGATGCCATGCCGGGCGGTAATTCTGGTTTCGTTGATTGAGATTCATCTTGGACTGGTGTTGACGCTTGCTCGGTGCCGGGCTTTGCTTCGAGACTGGCTTCCTCCATCCCATCGACGATCTCTTCAATCTTCATCTTTGGCAAGTGACGACCGCAGGGGTCCTTTGCTAATTATAGGCTTGATAGAGTGTTAAATGAGTTGCCTTTACTAGTTCCGAGACATCAATCCCCTTGTCGCAGAGAAGGCGTGACGTTACTAACGTGTGGGTGAGTGTTGAATTGAGACGTCGTCTCAATGGATTTCGTGCTCCAGCTGCAATTGTGGCGAAAATTTCTCCAAGTGGTCGAGCTTGTTATTTCACGCAGCCTCACTGATGTGAGGCTACACATGACAAAAGTCCTAGTAGTTACAGATAATAACTGGTCTAATAAGCTCTTTATTATAAATACAATCACCCAAACTCTTTTGTACATCAACGCCCAGTGCTGCGCTGCATCCTTTTGTTTTGGTAGGCTTCCACCAAACCACCAGATGACCACCCATACCCTGCACCAGGGCCCCACATTCAAACATGCATCGCCTCAATTACTGCGGTCAACTACATTCCCATGAATACACCAGAGTGAACAGACCTCTATTTGTTTTGTTTTGTTTATTTTCAACTACCCCATGTCTTCTATATACCTATCTCCCTCCGTATATTATGAGGAGAAAAAAGTCCGAACGACCAAAAAAAAAGTAAATACATTTCTCAAAAACCACGCTCCAGACGCCCATCGTATGCATCATACCCAAACTGTCTAACATGGAGTATTCCTCCACAAATCTATCTGAAACACCATAGCTTTGCCCACTGGTGCTTTCTAACATATTCCCGACTGACCGCTAACATCGAACAACTTTCAGAAGTGCGCGCGTCGTGGAACTGTGACATGATGGTCACTCTTTGAACAGAATGCCAAATTAGTAATAAGCAGATAGTTCAGAACAGTGCCTTTTCAAAGACAGCGTCTTCATCCCACATTAGCGTGAAAATAGGGAGTAAAAAATACCGAATAATTTCAGTTCATGATAAGTGAGGCTTTCATTCACGTTCTTGCTCTTCGTCCGAGATTTCGGTCGTTAGAGCATCGTATTCATTGCAAGGTGGTCGCGAAGCACACTCTTCAGATATTTCGAGGTTCCGCTCGCGAGGGACCAGGAAGCATTGCACAGAGCCAACAATGGCAACAACGGCACTCCCATACCAAGCCAGCGCCGTGCAGTTTATCTTGCTGCCATAAGTGTACAGGAATCCAGCGATGGGAGGCGCAACCATTCGGCAAGCAGCGCCAGCACTAGCGGCCAAACCATTGACCTTGCCCAGAGCACTGGATGTAGGTGTAGCTTCTTTAATGAGGATGAGGAGGAGAGGGTATAGTGTGATGGAGAGAATGTTGCGAATTGCAAGGCAGATGTAGATGGAGGGGAAGATGAGAGACTCGGGGACAAGGAGCAGAAAGGGGACAACCGCGTACACGACGGGATGTAAGACAGTAACAATGAGGAAAAGCTTGTACACACCGACTCTCTCTGCCGCGATGGGGAAAATGACAGCCTGAACAAAGAGTGCAATACATCCATTAACAGCCATTATCATTCCCACATCTCGGAGGGAGAGCCCCAGGCCACCAGAGGAATTGAAAATCGCCAAGAGGTTGGAGGTATTCTTGTTGACGGTGCGATCGTCTTCGAAGAAAATTGGCATAAGGTGATCGTATGTCATGGAATGATATGTAAAGATGGATAAGGCAATGATGAATCCAACAACACGCTTGTTCCAAACCTTGGTCAAACCAGACTTTTCTAGGGCATACACTTCTCGCCCCCTGTCATCCTCGTCATCCTCGTTGGCGCTTCGGAGAGTTCCGTAGGTTTCGGCTCGAAGGTCTACCGCGGGGCGCTTCATGGCATCCGAAGTCTCAATCAGCGGAGTCTCTTCCGAGACGTAGGTATCTGCAGGTAACAGCATGCGGGGTTGCATGTCAGGATGAGTCTCCTCAAGGAGCACGAATCCCAAAACAATGCTGACGAGCAATAGAGCCGCACAAAGTAGGTTGGGGAGAAGATACGGATAACGTTCAAACATGCTGCCTCTGGGGAACGCATTGGGCCAGGACTCGTGAGGGTCGGCAAACATGCCGCCGATACAAGGTCCAATGATGGTTCCGATGCTCCAGACAAAGGGCATGACGGCGAAGGCACGAGCTGTGACCTGTCAGCACGTATTTAAACATTGCCAAGAGAAGCAAGAGAGAATCAACTTACGTTCGTGTTCGGGCCTGGTAACGAGTTCACCGACCATTGTTTGAATGACACCGATATTTCCGTTGAGAAGACCACCTATGCCCCTACCGAGTAAAGCAACCCAGATATTGGAGGCAAATCCTACCATGACCATGCTGAACATGGTCCCCATGCAACCGATCATCAATACGGGTTTGCGACCAATGCGATCAGATAAGCCGCCCCAGTACATGCCCATCAGGGCCTCGGCAAGAGAGAAGGAGGAGATGAGGAGTCCAGAGTAGAAGGATGCATCTTGTTCGTTTCCAATATGGAACTTCTTCACGAGAGCCCATGCGTAAGGAAAAATGGATGTAAGTGCAATGGGTTCAGCGAGACGAACAACGGCTGCGAGGTGTCAGCAGTCACTCGTCGTAATATTTGAATTTCGTGCCCAATAGGAGATGGGGATTCGGCGTACGTACCTAGAAGAAAGAGCTGAAGAGTCGGGAAATCATTTGGATTGCGGGTGCTGACCTGCTTTGTTAGGGCCATGCTTTTGTCGCGCAGTGAAAGCTTACAACAAGACACAGGCACGTCGTCGGAAGAGGCCAGTGTTTTGATGCTTGTTCAGATCGAGTGAGGTGGCGAGCGGCGAGGTTTGTTCAAATGCTGTCAACCAATGCGAATACTCTACCGTCCCAGAACACGCAAGAGAAGAGCTTGGGCGTTGAAAGACGGGCTTTGCGATTTAGCGCTCTGCACAATCAAATGGCAAAAGCACAAAGTGGCAAAAGCAACAGAGATTGCGATGGTTGAGGAGAAAAAGATGAGGCATGGAGGGGAGGAAAAGAGTCATGGAGATGGCGGTGGGCATGTCCGTATTTCAAGGCGGGCTGTCGGCGAGGAACCGGCGTTCAAAGTGGAGCTCCTCAAAGGGACCGAGTAAGGAACATGGTAGAACTAAGGAGGGGAGGGGGCGCACAAAAGAGAGTGCCATACCCGTTCATGCATGTAAACAGAAACATGCCATGCAAAAATTCTACTAGTGCATGTGTGGCATGTGGGGCCGGACAGTGCCATGAGTGCGAACTGATGCAGAAGGAGCAAAAGGCGGAGCATGTCTTACTTGCCGGTTCAAGCATCGCTGTCTTGCCTCCTCGGCCTGCCCCAATGTCTCAGTGCAACACAAGAGTCTGGTTTCGTCTTGCGAGCTGGCGCGACAAGTGCCTAGTTTACCGGGTGCATCATGAATTGCCGCATTTCAATACCTTTGTTGAAGACGTTTCCATCCTTTGTCTGGCGGCCCGCCGTGACCCTTGTTGTCGATCTATCCCCATTGTTATCTCCATCGATGTAGACCAAAGACTGACCAGTAACTGCATCCACGCTTGATTATTTGGCGGCGGAGGTCAGCTCCGACGCTGTTACACAGGTCGGCGCGGAGCCAGCCATCCTGTTTTGTTTATTTTTTTTGTCCCCCGGCAAGTCTTTCGTGGAGTTCGTCGGCCGAGGTTTGGTATCCCGGTAAGGGTGGGACTGCGCCACACAGACATCGAGGTTACAGCCCGCGTATAAGAATATATCCAGTGATTTTTCCACACGCTGCCGACACAAGGAGCCCACCGCTTTTAATATTGGCTTGCATGATCTGCATTGCATGAAACATTGAGCCGAGTATTCATCATCTTGTTAAACACGACTTTTTCACCAAGCTTGCATCGCTTCCAAGCTCGCCATGCTCACCTCAAACCAACGACTGGCGTCGAATTATAATTTAGATTAGCACCGATTTGTATGATGCGTATGATGCGTATGATGCCCGAGGCCAGAACGCAACTCGTCTCGTGGCAATTCTTCTTATCAGGAAGGGCATTGACCTACTGGTACCGTCGTTTTCCGGCCACTATCGCTGCTCAGCGCTAGTGGCTTAGATCACGTGGAGGCGTCGTCTCGCATTTGTCAATTCCGTGCCCAATGTGCAACGCACGTTCCGGTGGCGGGGCTGAGCGGCTTCAAGACAAGACCAGCTTCAACGACATTGAATACCAGCTCCGGTTGTATGTATTGTACCAAAACCCGCCTGGGCTCAGCCGTCTCTAGGATTGGACTGGCTGAGGCCCTCTACTTCACCCACCCGCATCGTGGTTTTCATTACACGCTCGTCCTTCTATCCAATAGTTACCACTGTCCTAGCGCCGGCTTTTCAGCCAGCCGCCGCTCCCTATCAGGAACCAGGCCAAGCAGCAGGAAGAACGCCCCCTCCAAAGAGAATTTGGTGGGGCCAGCCTCAGTGATTTGCCCCTCCCTCCGTCATCGCAACTCTGCCCTGGTCTGCTGTGGCTTCTTCAGCACCGGTTTTAGCGATGGGGCCTTTATGCATGATGCAGTTAACAGAATATACTAGCTGGGGCTGCACTAGTTCCCGCTCTGGATATTTTCATAAATCGCACTGGGTGGACCCCGAGTACTCCGTAGCCTCCGTCAAATATCACACAGCAATCTGCAATGTGCCAAACTGGCATTGGGTATGCACCAGTGTGATTCGGAAGACGCGGCACATAACATTTATTCAACTCCAACAGGAGAAATAACGAGACAAAGGGAGATGTGACACGAGTAGGGGGACGCCTTTGCTAGATGATGCGAAGTGCCCTGTATAATAGAAACCCCATGACAGCTGCAAAGGAGGGAGTGCGAGCGCATTGACTAATATTATTCCGCGCCTTGTGCGGCCTCGTATGAATGCCAGCTCTCCGTAGTATTTTGCTAGTTTTGCGACGAGCTAAGGGTTCAAACTATAATACAGACTCGTGAATTCCATGGGATTTATTCCACTAGATGAAATTAAGGAGCGCGTCGAATCAATTGGACTTGGTCGCACCGCCCTTCTCGGCCAATTGTGACCTAATTACTGTCCGACATCGCTTGGTGGCACGTGAACGCACATTAGAATTCTGTCACATCACAACTACCGACCGACAGCTGTGTAACACTGTTTATCCTGATGGGGAGGTTAAAAATTTCCAGAGCAAATGAATATTGTTTCAGAATGAAAGGAAGAGCTCAATGCGACGTTGGCGGTACTGCTGCATTGCGACGCAGCACTTTCTACTTGTCCGGATACAGGTTTATCACCAAGCAACCACGAGCACCTTGCAGTCAAGAATAGACGCAGTCAGCCTGAGCAACAAATGTACTCTGGTTCAGGTAGAGGCTCTTCCAAGTACGCACCAAAACACCAGCATGTCACCAGCAAGCCGACCTCTCACTACAGGTGACGGCTCCCCCTATCCTTGCCGAACCTATATTGTAGATGAGTGTCCCGGCGTTGTCGCTTGTTGCACAGCAGCTTCGCTATTGAATACGCTAGGTTTGCGCCGCCACTTCATCTGGCGTCGTTGATGGAATTTTGGTACGGGTCGCTCCCAATTTTGCCTCGCCATCATCCTGTTTTCAGGTTGAGGGGGAATGCAAAATGCTCACCTGCATGATGCCCGGTAGCTAGTATCTGAACACTCTCTTGGATATTGCATGGAAGTGTCGCCGCCGCCTTTTTCCCCCAAACTATTCGTGTTCGAGACTTGAAGTCTACTTCTACGCAATCTTGATTGTCTGCGAAAAGATATAGAAGAGACTTGGAACACGGTATGGGAATGTCCCCCAGCTCTCCCGGCTCGTCTTTTACAAAGGTGGCCAAGGGCAGTTGAGCGCCTTTATTGAGCTCCGTAAAGCTGTGGCAAATGCTGACGTGAGGTTCACTGCTAGCCTCGTTCTAGATAAAGAATTGTCCATGCCCGTATAAAAGAAAGAAAAAAAGAGAGACAGCAGAGAAGCAGCCACACCTTCCAATAGGTCCACAATATTACTAGGCAAACTAGCACACTGAATGCACCTTGCTCCTATTCCGCAGCCGCTCAATGTCATGCTATTCCCATCCTTCTCAAAATTGTCTTATACTCCTCCGCCTCGGCTTCCATCTGCTCCTGCGTCCTGGGATTACGATCCGCGTCCTCGATTCTAGGCATGCGGCCCGCGGGCGCGGGGCGGCGCTCTCGATCCCACATGGCACCACCGATATTCCCATCCTCAGTAGACATCTTGACGTAGATGGCATCCGGACTGTCGCCCACGTCCCCCTTCCTACGGGGAATCACGTGGACGTGTACATGGGGAACAGTCTGGCCCGAGTCGGGCCCATCTTGCACGGCGACAGTGAAACTCCCCGAGAGCAGGTTCCCAGGTTCGGGCAGGTATTTCTGCGCCAGCATTCGCTGTGTGAGCTGGACGGTGCTGAAGAGGTCTGCCGTTTCGGCCGGAGACAGGTCTGTAAGGCGTAGATGGGATTTAAGGGGACACACGAGAATGTGGCCTGGGATGAGGGGCTTGAGATTGACGAGGGCATACGAATGGGGTGTTGTGAGGAACACCTGTCGTCGGGTGGTCAGGGTCCCTTTGTGGCAGTATAGTTCCGGGATTTTCATAGCGAGGGATATGGTACGCACCTGTTTCGTGACCTCGTAAGGCCCGAAGTGTATTGACTTGCCTTCTATCTTTGTCGATGTCATGATGGTTCTGTGGAGAGACCGCGATGAGAAATATCTGCCGTTGCCGAACGCAGACCGAAGCATTTCACGGCAGGAGTCACAAGACCGCTCCGGCTGGTCTGGTTTCGGGGTGAAGGGGTCGTTTACTAGCGACCTGCACCGGCTGGACTGGGTTCAGACGGGAAACACGATATACACAAAAACGAGGCGTTTGGGCGGAGTCTGGTGTAATGACGTTGACATGCCCCTTGTGTGCGCCCGCCGGTAACCGTCAATCGTCAACCACTAGCGCATCTCCACTGTAGACATGCCCCACTTGCCACTGCTCGCCAGTTGGCATTCACCGTTGTACCAGACATCCGTTCGAGATTCTCGAACGACATCGGAACCCCTGGGCGCTGACCCAAATACCTCTAGGTATCTAGTACCTGGGTCATCTCCATCTCAATCGTTTTGGTCTTCACTGATAGCCAACCAACAAAACATCTCAAAGCCAACTGCCGGAGGGCCTAGTTCTCGCCGTCATCGTTTCAACGTCTCCAGTTAGAAATTTCTGTACTCCAGTGCCCCAAGATGGCCGTTGCGCGTCAATTTGTTTGCTGAACTAGACTTGAGTGATGCGACGGCTTTGTTACCAAGAGCTGCTGCAGGCCCGAGGATCTTCAATGGCAGTGACGGCACAGCGTGCCAAGGGCGCTTATGAACGTTGCCGGTAACTGTGAGGACGGGTCGCACCATGGTAAGCCCGTGAGAGGAAAGTTCCGGGCAGCCCATAATGGTCGAGCGAATCCTCCGAGGGCCGGCAGACAAGAGAGGTGAGTTTAAGCGTGTTGGGGTATTTGCGGTACCTGGATAGCGTTGTAATGGGTTGTCATGACACCACTGGATGAGAAGTACACTCGTGAAGAATATGACCTCACGCATAGGCCTGTCGCTTCTATGGTCAGGACTGGTTGCGCTGTTTCTAAAGACGAAATAAAAAGGCATATGCGATCATGCTTGGAAGGAAATTCGTTAGGGAAATCGTTTACAAGCGCTCCGGGTCTTTGCTTTGTAAATAGCTAGCAGAAAGTATACATCATGGGCACAGATGAGGCGTGTAGGTATATGGGCCAGTACTCGCCGTGTGGTGTTGCAAGAATTTGTGGCTGAAATCTAGGCTGCAACTCTCCCTACTAACGTCATGTATTATTGTCAAGCTTCCGAGGCCAAGGCTCGCATTACCGGCTAATATCAAGAATAAGTGTGCCCTCTGGGGAATTATGTACACTATACATTTAAACTCCATAACTATGGCGACATATATTTGAAAATCTATGAGTTGGTAGAGGCACGAATAGAAAAAGATGGAAGGTATGCCGCATCTTGAAAACATCAGTACCGAATTTCATCCTCATCGAAAGGAAAACCAGTACCAGCAGGGCCAACTGCTTGTGGTGCAATTCCATTGAGCGGCTCACGCTCCTCCTCTTCTTCATGGTCCTCGTGCCAATGAACTATGGTCGACAGTTAGCAGCGGAAGATCTCAGCACCTCAACATCACCTCAACTTACCAAACGGCGTAATTACAAAGCTGCAGAGCAGCGCAAACGAGAATAGACCAGCAAGAGCGACAAAAATGGCCTGCGGATAGCTACCGACCGTCGCAGCATATAGACCGTTGAATGTCACAGGTCCAATGACTCTGACCAGAGCCTGGAGCATGCCAATTGCACCGAGAACTCTGCCGACCTTGTCATGGGGAACGTGCTTCGTAACAACAGATTGACTAGTTGCACTTCCAAGTCCGCCGAACGCGGTAATAAGGGCCGAGGCGACAAAAGGCCCGGGGGCTCTGGCAACGGTGTACCCGACATACCCCAAGATATCCGAAAGTAAGGCGACACGGAGAATCCATATGTCCAAATGGTCGGCCCCGCTGTTCCTATCCGCAGGAGTGATGCCAGATTCCCTTCTTCTCTTGGCAGCAGGGCGGATTCGAAAGAAGTAGTTGACGAGCGGAAAGATGCCCATCAGAACAATAACACGGAAGAAAGAAGCAGCGGCGACGAAGCGTGAGGTTTCGGGAGTCTGCCAGCCAAACACATACTCAGCGTAAAGTATTATTACCTGACCAGCGGCCATGGCAGTTCCCATAATGATCATATCGCAAGTGGCCAAGGCTACGAGGTTGAGGCGGAGTCTTGTCGAAGTTCCTCGACCCCGGGGCCACAGAACAGAGAGAGACGAGAATGGGTTTCTCTCCTGTACCGACGAAAACCAAGATGACCGTCGTGCTTTCCGCTCCTCCTCTTCCTTGCGATACTTCTCGCGAGCAGCAAGCTGCTTTTCCTTGGACAACGAGTCAGGGATGACGAATGCGACAAATACAATGAATAAAGAGTGAGCCGCGAGGCAGACGTAAAATATTGAGACCAAGCTTCCTGTCAATCTGACGATTTCTCCGCCCAAGAGCTGACCCGCGGCCAAGCCAGTAAAAAGACAGGCATGAATATAGCCAATAGCCACCGCACGTCTGGATGGTGGTGTGCAGTCGCTAGCATATGATTGAGTCAGAATGTTTCCAGCCGTGAAGGAACCGGTCATCCCATCGAAGATGGATCCAAGGATCAACCAACGATAATCAACAGTGTCGGGAAACTTGGCCGCGAGAATAGTCATGATTTCGCCTAGCAATCCACCACAAGATGCCAGAGCAAGTAATCGCCGACGGCCATATCTATCGGATAGGTGTCCAAGCCGAGGGGCAGCGTAGGCGCTAAGCAAACCCGTGCAAAAGTTCATGACCAGCATGAAGGTCGCGACACGTTTCTGAACCTCTGGGTTTCTGCATTGAGGGTTGTCGGCACCGACGGTGATAGGGCTGACTCGCAGATCCGGATGTAGATGCTTTTGACTTGCAAAATAATGCTGACATACCAGACCGAGAATCCTGCACGAATCAGGAGCAATCATGTTAACCAACATCATGACGCGCAAGACGGGTACTTGCGGAAACATCTACGGTTTGAAGAGGTGCCTTACAGGTTCAACTTTGGTACGATGACACTTCCAAAAGCAAGAGTAAAGACTGAATACGGCGCCAGCAGCCAGAATACCTAGACCCATCTGGTTAACGATATCAGTTGCCCGAGTCCGTAGCTGGAGCACTCACCGACGGCCTTTGCCACCAAGGCGACCCTTCAAAGTCAGCCAGACCGTCCCAGCCCCCATTGGCACCTTTGACACCGCCTGCAGTGACAATATTCCCATTCTGTTCGACGCCCGTGCCCAGCAGATGGGTTGTTTCGGTGGGATCCGCCGTGATCAAATCCGAATCATGTTCAAGTTCACCCTGCGCCTTTGGGCCGTCCCGTCGGGCCACCATCTTGGAAGAATAAAATCGAGAGGCGCAGCAAGCACACCAAATACCCGTCAAAGCTAGTCGATTATGAATATTTGTAGGCCAAGGTCGCAAACGAAATGCAGCTATAAACAACCACCAGATTGATCAGGCAGGCTTGTGTCTCGGTAGCGTGGAGTGGTAATAGATGGATTTGTGTTCGCAAGCCCATGTCGCAGGGCCGCTGCGATGAGTTCTGTGAAAAGCAAGAGGTCGAGGGCACATGGGTTGTCAATAATCAAGAACGATGAGAAGAAATGAAGGATCTGGGTGTTGGGATATCTGAGCTTGATAAGCAATGGGCGGTATTGTGTTGTGTTATGTTGTTGGGGAGCTACTGGACCGAGGCCGACTGGAGGAACATTCAAGGGACTTGGAATGAATGGTGATGAGAACCAGGCGGGACAGTGACCACCGGTTGGTGAGTGGAGAGGCCGCCGGTAGCTACCAGACGCGTACCTTCTTGGCCTGGAAGATGATGTCTGGGGTATTTGTACGTATTGATTGTGCTCTCCCGTCGGCAAGGGAGGCGGACTAGAACGTCCAAGCATGGTCCGGGGGCCCACGCGACACCATTAATTACGGATTATTGGTAAAAAGCAAGCAGGAGTCGACATTCATTACTCCGTGGACAGTTTCAGGCCCCTCGGCCCGCGAAGCACCAGCGCAAAGCTCCATGTCTACCTGCCCTTGCTGGGAATGATAATAGAGCAGGGCATTGGACATTCCAAGTGTGCCTGGCGTATGCATGCGGATGGGAGCGCGACACCCGACCAACGAACGTCGAGCACACAGATGGTTTCACGCAAGGTTTGAGCCAAATTTCCCAGACACAACTGTCTATCGCACCAACGTACCGAGTAGTGTTAACGGTCTGGTGCCAGCGGAGCCGCGATTAGGTATGCTGGGTCGACGCGGCGTTCCGAGGCGTTTTTAGGACGGAGCCAAACTCCGGCGCTGCAGAAACACGGAACCGCTAATGATCAACGTTCTGATATCATGACTTTGGGGTTGTGACGCACGATAATAAATGGGTTCGATAAAGTCCGCAGGGCTTCGGTAGTGTCGGGGCGGCGGGTACCCTACCCCAGGTGTCCAGATCGAGGACTGCATGGATTGAGGCTCGATGGTAGTAGTGAGCTGGCTTAAATGCAGATGACGTGAGCATGACTGAATAATGAATGCATCAATGCATTGCGGCGGGTGAGTGACTGGGTCGTGTGGTGCCGTGATGTCGTGATGTGTCCTGTGCCTGGCATCATCAGCATTGAACGGTGGACCAACAGTCACTTGTCGCTGTACAGAGCAACTGACTACTAACTCGGCAGTACGGAGTGCCTGGCATCAATTGATCAGCAGCTGGGACATCGTACGGTGGCAATGGCACATTAGTTGGCTAAATTGCTGGTGGACAACGCTCACGTCCACAACGCGCAGGTTTTGCTGGAGCCGCGGGACTGAACTGGAGGGCTTGCCACTAATCACGTTCCAAGATTGACACAGTCAAGGGCGTATGTGTGGTAGCGTTTGCACAGGGAAACCGCCAGAATGTTGGTGACCAAAGTCTGTACCTCAGGTACCTGTGATCTAGGGCCCGTCAACCAATTAGCGCTTTGCCTTGCATGACTCAGCAACTCAG